TACAATCATATCATTCCAAGCCGAGGCATATCCTAACAAGGTATTGTTACAACAGAATGTATTGAGTATTTTTTAAAAATTTTTTCTTAAAATGGCTGTAACTTGAAAAATTGAAGTCGGAATCAACTCAGACTTTCTACACAGCATAAGGGCGTCAATATGTATCAGAAAATGTAATAAAAATTGGGGGTCATTTTTAAGCCATTTTTTGGAAAAAAATCATGGACTATAGCCTTGGGTATTTTTCAGATTTTTGGCGTTTTCTTAAAATGGCTGTAACTTGAAAAATTGAAGTCGGAATCAACTCAGACTTTCTACACAGCATAAGGGCGTCAATATGTATCAGAAAATGTAATAAAAATTGGGGGTCATTTTAAAGCCATTTTTTGGAAAAAAATCATGGACTATAGCCTTGGGTATTTTTCAGATTTTTGGCGTTTTCTTAAAATGGCTGTAACTTGAAAAATTGAAGTCGGAATCGACTCAAACTTGCTACACAGCATAAGGACATCAATATGTATCAGAAAATGTAATAAAATTTTGGGGTGATTTTGGAGCCATTTTTTGGAAAAAACCATGGGCTATATAGTACAGAGTATTTTTCAGAATTTTGGCATTTTCTTAAAATGGCCACTGGTTCTGTTACACACAAACTGAGCAGTAACTGATTATGTTATTTCATTGTAGAGGTAGACTATTGAGTGACTCACTAAGAGAGAGACCTGATGACACTGATGAAGAAGAAACCTCATCAACTTACTGGACTAGGCAACTAATGAAAGTGGAAGAGAATGATCCTGACCGGTGAGATTATTAATAATTGAGATTAATAATAATAATAATGCAATATACCTATATAAGTATGTACATGTACAATACTGTAATAGTTTTAATTGTGTGAGTGTACTATGATTGTAGTGAATTTAATGATTAAGTTAATGACATCACGTAGTCGTCCAGTTTGAATTGAATATTTAACCTAATGCTTGTAAGATTAGTCCATACACAATCATTAATACAGTATAAATCATTAATACTTTATATTCATCCTTCTCTCTTTATGTGTAGTTGGGGTCACAGTGGCTATAAGGAACTCTATCCAGAGGAATTCATTTCAACTGATGAGGAGAGAGGAGGGAAGAGAAAGAGAGAGAGAGTGAGAGAGACTAAGAGGAAGAGACCTCCTTCTACTCGTGAACAATCAAAACGGACGAGACTCTCTGCTAGTACCAGCAGTGGGGGGAGTGAGAGTGAAAGAGAGTTTA